CATCTGAGCTCTTTGAAACTAAAATCCCACCCATGGGACATGGAGCTACAAGATTTGATATTTGCCGCGATGGGTTTGGTCTGGTTTTGGTACAGTATTTCCTCACTATGCTCCATTCTTCCCTTTTGAAATGGGACTGTATATTCTGTGCCATTATATGTTGGAAGTACATAATTTGCCTTTTGACTTTGCAGGAGGTATTACAGTTAAGAGACTGACTTGAGTCTCACAAGAGGCTTTGGACTTCTGAAGTGTTAAGGCTCTTAAAGGCTATGAGACTTTAAAGATTGAACTAAATGCATTTTGCATTAATATATGGCTATGGGCCTATGGGGGCCAGGGAGTGGAATATGGTGGTTTGGATGAGAAGTGTCCACAATAGGCTCAGATATCTGAACACTTGGTCCCCAGTTGGTGGCACTGTTTGGGAGGTTTAGGAGGTACAGCCTTGCTGGAGGAAGTATGCCACTGGGAGGGCTTTGATAACTTCACCTCACATCCAGTTTGCTTTGCTTTCTGGGTATGGATGGAGATAGGCTCTTTTACCTTTCTGCCATTGATGGTCTCTGGAACCATAAACCAAAATAAACTCTTCAGTAAGTTGCTTTTGATCATGGTGTTTTATCACAGCAACAGGAAATTAACTATTACATCTTACAGCTAAAAAATAGTCAAGCTGTGTAACAAGTTTCAGTCAGTGACAGACCACACACAGCATGGTGATTCCTAAAGGTTATAATAGAGCTGAGCATTCCTGTCTTCTGATGTACCAGCTGTGGGAATATCAGAGAGCAATGCATTACACACATGGGGGTGGTTAGGAGGGGTGTTGGCACAAATGATCCTACTGTCTTGTCAGTCATCTAAAAGTACAGCACAGATATGCATACCTGATAATTATGCTGCTTCTTTATGCATTTACTATACTTTTGTCATTTAGAGTATTAAGTTTGCTGTAATATAGTGTACCAGTTTTGTTATAATACCTGAGATCAATTTAAAAACAGGAAATTTTATTTGGGCTCAAAGTTTTAGAGATTTCAGCCCAAAAGCAATGGCAGCTAAAAAGCAAGGAAAAAGGTAGAGAATGGGCCAGGGTTTATATATCCCAAGGGCACACCTCCAAAGACTTTCCACTGGGCTTCACTACATTCCAATATTGCTACAGACTGCTTATCCAAACTATATTGAAAAGTACTAGCTCATGTTTACTGTATCTTTTCACTGTAACAAAATGTCAGACACATACAGGTTGGGATGACTGATGCACAACACCCAAGCTTATATGGGCACACTCTGCAATGTTCCCAGCGCCATGACTGCTTAAGGAGACAGTTCTCAGAACATGTCCCTGTTAATCAAGCGCCATGTGCCCATGCTTGGTTTACAGTCTAGCTGGGTGAAGCCTGGATGATAATTTTCCTTTAGCCTCCCCAAGGCTTTGTTCCTTTGATCATCGTCCTCCATGGCTTAAGAAGCATCCTGTTCTGACTCCTGTTTGTATGTGAGCTACATCTAACATTAGAACATTTTGTTCCAGATATTCTGAAACTCCACAGTGATGACCCAGTGTGGGGCTCTCCCTTATCTGAGCTCCCAATGGCCTTCCTGATACATGGTCTTTGGTGGTCAAGACTTTTCCTGGACTAAGTCATGAATGAGATTCTCTGACTACTCTGCTGGTTCCTATTATTCAAACAAGGCACTTTTTTGTTGTTGTTTTTTGAGACAGGGTCTACAGCTCCAGTTTGGCTGGCTTCCATCTCACAGAGATTCTCCTGCTTCTGCCTCTGCCCCCGAAAACCTGGTGTGCCAATTAAACGATTAAAGGTGCATCTCCCAAGTGCTGGGATTAAAGGTAGGCACCACCATGTGCAGTTACAAGACACTTTCTGGTTAATCTGCTAATATTTTTTCCTGTCTGGGTAATATTCCCTTCCAATCTTTCTACTGAACACTTTGCCATTTATACTTCTGCTACTTTCTTTTAAGAACCCTTCCCTTTACCCCTGAATATTTCTTTACATATATTTTCCCTCTGTGGATTGTGGTATCCTTTTAAATTTCTCCCAACTATATTTTTTATAGTTTTGTTTACATTTCTCTACATGGCCTCTGTTTCTTCTAACTTGCATTTTAAAAAATCTATTGTGGCTTTGTATTTCCTGACACAGGCTTCCCAGAGATGACAGGTCAGCTCGGCTGCCCACTTTGCCTGGAAAGGGCAGAGATGGATTAGAAGTTCTGTGCTAGTGGTACCTTTCACTGTGGCTCTCACTATTGTCTGTCAGTTGGGTACTTGGGCAGCTGGGGTTGTCAGAATGTGCAGATGTTTTTCCTTAGCTTGCCTTCCCCTGCCCTCAAACCTTTCCTAGGCTCCTAGCTCCCTGAAAAGGGCCTGTAGACCTCAGCACCCAGATGCCATATGTACACTAATCCCAGTGTGGTTCCTCCACCACTGTGCTGGGACACTCTTTCAGATAGACACAATCCTTCCTCAGGATGGGGAAGGGGCAGCTGCAAGGCTGCACAGGGCTGGGTGTCTCTCTGCCAGACACAAGTGCAGTTATTCTTATTTCAGGTTCTCTTCCCTCCCAAGTTAAGAGGTGTTGTCACCATTTAGGAACTTTCTGTGGAAGCACTCCTTCCCAGGTCTTTCACACTTCTGTTTTATTTGGTCTGTGAGTGCTTTTCAGCTTTGCTGGCTGCCACTGCTTCCTCCTCTGCTCTCCCTGCTTGTGAATTTTTGGTTGCTTCAGAGACTCTAAGGTAAAGTCCACCCAGAAACTTCACACATGCTTAGTGTCTCTCTTCATGGCTCACTTACTCCAGCTTGATCTACCCTGATCTGCTTTTCTGATTCAGTTCCTTCCATCTGAACGATGTCCTCAGCCTCACACACATAAGCCATCTTTGTCAATATCCTGCTAGCAAGCAAACATGGACCCATAGCTAAAGGTGAGATGTTCACCGGGAACAGAACTGTACCACTAGGATACTTCCATTTGGGCTTGGCACAAGACAGACTAGGCTTGAGGCACTAGTCATTAAATGTTTGGTGAGAGGATTAAGAAATCATGCAAGACACCGAGTTTTGTATCTTTGAGAGGCCACACTCAGGAGGAAGCCTTGGATAATGCTTTCAGCTCAAGAGTCCCTTTACCAGGCTGTCATGGAGACTGAAGCAGCTATGAGGTGGGAGTCCAATAATGGAACTGTGCAGGCCTGATGAAGGTCTGCTGTTGTACTGACAGAACTCCCTGGCTGCCTGGGGCAGGAAGAAACGCATGGCCAGTAAGGCAGTATAGGGCCAGCTCCTTCTAAATGAAATGACTGCCTGTGGCATGTGGTGGGAAGGGAGGAACATTCTGAGTCATCACTTGGTCAGGACAGTCTCTTAAATGTCATCAACACAATCTGCCTGGAACAAAGATGACTACTTTCCGCCAAGTAGAGACCCTCCTACAGGGACCTGACCTAGCTTCTACACAAGGCATAAGTCCAGACAGTGATGGGGAATTAGTGTGTCAGTGCTCAAGGGGACTCAAACGTGAACACAAGTTCACCACAACATGAAACCCCAAATGGCTGAGTTTCCCCTGGTTACCTGGAAGTCGTTCTTTTTCTTCCTAAACTCCTAGTTTAGGAACCCAGAACCACGGTCCTTAGTTCTGTCAATGGGATGACTGCCCCCTGCTCTGGTTCACTGAGGTGGAACACCTGGTCTCCCTCATTTGCCCAGTTCTTCTTGGAATTCAGCACAGGTGGCCAACTTGTTTCAAGGCCATTACCCACAAAGAAACAGGCTGCAGACTCCGTTCCCATACTCTTTCAGGGAGCAGCTGCTGCTGGAGTTCTGAAAGTGTGTGCTAAGATTGGTTTAAAGGCAGTAGGAAGTTATGCAGGATCTCTCCAGCGATGGCCTAGTGCGTTCACGAGCATGAGAGTTTGTGTTAAGAACAAGGTGGCCAGGCTGGGAGGCCCCCAGCCGGGCGCAGAGCATTTCCTTCGGGGGCCCAGACAGTGAATGGGTGGGGTGCCCCGGGCGGGGTCCTCGCAGCTGGTAGTGTTTGAAGCCTCCGCAACTGCGGTGGGAGAGGGGTGGCCTGGAGAAGTTGGCAACAGGCCTGGGGCGGGAAGGGGGAGGAAGGGGCCCCATGTTTCCAGAACAGCCGAGTCCGCAGCCCCGGCACGTACTACACTCTTCAAACACAAGCAGTGGTGGGCCTGGCAAACGCCCTGTCAGGTTAAGCGCCCGCGCCGGCCGACCGGAGCTCAAGGGCAAGGCTGCCGCGCCCAAAGGTGCCAGGCTTCTCCGCGGGGGTGTTTGGGGAGAACTCTTCCCACAGCTGCACTAGGGCTGGAGTCCTGCAGGGGAAAGCAAGGGGGTGGGCCGAAGCTGCAGGAGCAGCCACCTGGGAACCGGGCCACGGTGGGGTGAGGCGCGGGTGTCCCGCCCCTAGGCAAGGCCAGCGGCCTAGGCCCGGCGGGAGTGGACACGCCTCCTCGCTTGCGCCCCGCCCGACAGGGCCCAGGGACATCACGGACAGGGCCCAAGGACAAAAGGGTGCCGTCCCGAGCGCTACCCTCTCCGCTCCTCCCCTGTGCCTATCCTGACACAAAAACTCTGGCAAAGGAAAAGCCCGGCGAGGTTCCCAAGGCGGGAGACACCGACCGCGGCCGAGAGCACCTACACCAACACCCGCCACTCTCGAACGTCTTGCGTCAGCGTGCTCCGCCGCCGGGCTCCGATTTCCGCCCCGCCTCCCGCGGGGCCACGCCCACACGCGCGCGCGCAGACCCGCGGCCGACCACGCCTCTCAGGAGGCCTGGATTGGCCAGACTGAGTACTCTACAGCCAATGGCGTCCGCCTCTGCCCTCGGCCGCGCCCCCTCCCGAGACGCGGGCGCGTGGCCGCACCGTGCCTCCGGTGCGCGCTCCAGGTTCCCCGCCCCCTTCGTGCGCGCTGTTTCCCCGCGGCCGCTGCCGCCGCCTGTAACCTGCGCCGCCAGGATGTGGAAAGGGGGCTGACGTCGAGTCCAGATGTGGCCCCGGCCCCGCCCATCCCCGGGGCCGGTCCGCCCACACTGAGCCGCGGCGCGCACGGCGGCTGTCCCGCCTGCCATAATGCGCGGTGAAGGTGCGGCTGCAACTTGCCGGGGTCATCCCTAACGTCGCCGCTCGACATCCTTAGGACAGGCCGGCCCTGACGTCGCGCGCACCCCTCTGGTCCGCGCCCCCCATGCGCTCAGTCTCCAGTGCCCCGCCGGGAGGACGCGGAGCCGCGCGGGTGACGGCACAGGCGGTTGCGCGCCCAGCCTAGCCCAGCCCAGCCCGAGGAGAGGGCGCGCCGCGCCCCCGCCCCCCGTCGCTCTCCGGAGGCCGTGGGTGCGGATGCGCCGCTGACGACTCGCAGCGAGAGCATTGCCGCCCGCCCGCCGGCTGGAGCCGTCAGCATGGCAGCCGCCGCCTATGTGGACCACTTTGCCGCCGAGTGCCTCGTGTCCATGTCCAGCCGCGCGGTAGTCCATGGGCCGCGGGAAGGTCCCGAGCCCCGGCCCGAGGGCGCGGCTCCGGCCGCCGCCCCCACACTGGCCCGCGCCGACGAGCGCCGCGACGGCAAGGACAGCACCTCCCTCTTCGTGGTGGCGCGGATCCTAGCGGATCTCAACCAGCAGGCGCCGGGGCCCGGCCTGGTGGAACGCAGAGAAGGGGCAGCTGCCCGCAAGGCGAGGACCCCTTGCCGCCTGCCGCCAGCGCCCCCCGCACCGCCGCCCGCGCCGCAGCCCTCCTCCCCCGTCCGGGAAGGCGCGCCGGCCGCACCCCCCAGCCCCGTGTGGAGCGAGCCCGACCCCGAGGCGGGATTGGAGCCCGAGCCGGGCCCCGCGGGGAGCGGCGAACCCGGCCTGAGACAAAGGGGTCGGCGGGGCCGGAGTCGCGCGGACCTCGAGTCCCCGCAGAGGAAGCACAAGTGCCACTATGCGGGCTGCGAGAAAGTTTACGGGAAATCCTCGCACCTCAAGGCGCACCTGAGAACTCACACAGGTCAGTGGGGCAGCCAGGACGCCGCGAGAGTGCGGACTGAGGACTGCGCGGGGCCGGCCACGCCCCCGGAGGTGCCGGCGGGCTGGGGCCTGGGCAGGGCGTGGGGACCCGAGTGCGGGGAGCCGTGAGCGGGGCGCATCTCCGCCTCACCCCTACCCCCCGCGGCCAGCCTCGTGAACCGCGTGACGGGCTCCGGGGCTCTTGCAGCGGGCGCCTGCCCGGCGACCGCGCCCCCGCCGGGCACGCCCCCTCCGGGCTCCTGGGGCGGGGCCGCGGGGGTGGATGTCGTCATCGGGGCTGGGGGCGGGTACCCAGCCCATCCCGCCCAGGCCCGGGGGTGGCGCGGGCAGGTGCGCTACTGCTGGCGGGGGGCTGCGGGAGGCGCTGGCGATGGAGGGCAGCCTGGGCTCTCAGAGCCGGGAGTGGGTGACCTGCTAGTCCGTCGCTGACCCCTCCCCTGGCCACCGGGCGCGCGCTGGCGAGGGGAGGGACCGGGCCGGGCGCGCGGCGGGCGAAGTTCACGCGGGGACAGGGCTCCCTGCAGCCACTCGGCACATTCTTCGCTCTCTTCCTGTAATTTTTCCAGCGCTCTAAGGTTTAATTTGTCGTAACCGGAGCTAATGGCGGTCCCGGATCCCAGTTCCCCGCCCGGAGCTCTTTGTGGGAGCCCAACCCATCCGGCCCGCGGGGGCGCGCCGGGCCGCAGGGGCTGAGCTGGCGGGCGGCGCTTTCTCTGGAAGGGAGCGCCCTGCCCACCGCCGGTCTGTCTGTGCCGGTCTCCTCCAGGCCAGATTCTCCCTTGACCCGCGGCTGGTTGCAGGCCGATGGCACCTGCGGGAGGGTAGCGGGCTGAACCTGCAGCCGGGGCGCTGTGGTCGGCAGCTCGCTCCAGTAGATCCGGGCCTCCACTTAGCACCTCTTGGGCGGATACTTAGTTGATTCGTTTGTGAAAGTTCCCCTCCCCCTTATTTTGGGTCTTAACACAATGTTGCAAACATTAGTTGGTGTGTTTCCCTTGAGTTCGCGGGACCTCTTCTGTAGCACTTAACTTTTTCCACTTTTGAGTCGGGGGTTCGTAGTCAAAATAAGCCCGTTATTTTGTTACCAGGGGTTGTAGTTTCTTGTTGCTAAAGTAGTTAACCTGCCCAGTAAAAAACACAAAAAGAAACTGAAGCGGTCGAGCTCAAAGGCCCTCTTCTGGCACGTTTGGAACCGAGCGTGCCCGAGCTCTGCAGGCGTCGAGTCTGGGGGTTCTCGGGTGAGCTTTAGCCACAGACGCTGCCCCCGGGGTCCCGGCCCCTTGGTGTGGCCCCAAACCACGTGGCAGGTTATGGGGTGAAGGCCGGGCCATTTCTAGGCATTCTGGGTCAGAATTGATGTTGTGTGATGGAGGTGGGTGGGGTTTGTCTGGGGTTCTCTGTTCTGCTGGGGCGAGGGACGGGTG